AAACAGGAAATTCTGTCATCTGTAACAATGTGGATGAATCTTGAGAACATTGTGTTAAGTGAAATAAGCCAGGCATAGAAAGGTAAATGCCGACTGGGTACAGTGGTTCATGCCTGTAATCCTAGCACTTTGGAAGGCCGAGGTGGGTGGATCACCTGAGGTCAGGAGCTCGAGACCAGCCTGGCCAACATGATTAAACCCCATCCCTACTAAAAATACCAAAAATTACTGGTCACGGTGGCAAGTGCCTGTAATCCCAGCTACTTGGGAGGTTGGAGCAGGAGAATTGCTTGAGTCGGGGAGGCAGAGGTTGCAGTGAGCCGAGATCGTGCCACTGCATTACAGCCTGGGCAATAAGAGCAAAACTTCATCGAAAGAAAGAAAGAAAGAAGAGGAAAGAAAGGAAGAGAAAGAAAAAGAAAGAGAGAAAGAAATAAAGGAAAGAGGTAAATTCCATATTATTTCACTTGTATGTGGAATCTAAAAAAGTCAAATTCGTAGACGTAGAGAGTAGAATGGTGGTTGCCAGAGGCTGGGGATGGGAGGTGGAGTTGGGGGATGAGGTGATAAGGGGTGGACAGGGAGAAATGAGACATCAGTCAATGAGTACAAAGTTACAGTTAGGCGGAATAAGTTCTGATGTTCTATTGCACAACAAGATGACTACAATTAATAATGTATATTTCAAAATATCTGAAAGAGAGGATTTTAAATGTTCTCACTAAGAAAACATGATAAATATTTGAGGTGATGGATATAATAACCTGATTTAATCATTTCCAAGGTATACATATATTGGAACATCACACTGTAGCCCATAAACATATACAAGTATTTGTCTATTAAAAATAAAATTAAAATTAAAAAAATAAAAAGGATTATGCTAACAAAAGGTTGATGTTCCTTTGAGATATACAATATACAAATATAATTTTATCTAGGTTAAATCCATTGGCAATACATTTTAAGAAACTCATGCACTGGCTGTCTTCAGAGTAGTATATTGTGTGAAGGCATGATTTTAGCATTTCATTTAATGATGCAGTTGCAGATTGCATTCAAAGGGTAAATATACAAATTGTATGCAACTGATCTCATGTAAAAGTTTATACAAGAAGCTTCAGTTCATATTTTTTCCATTTGTTTTCCTTGAGCACTTCCAAACCAAGTAGGTCTGATTATACTGTCACCTTTACATCAATATATAAATAGGGAGGAAAATAATCACTGGAAGGAAAATTAAAGTTTGAGTCATACATCAACTCTGCTTAGTGAGCACCCAAACCTATAATTCACACTGCTGCTGAAAAGCCTCCAGTGATTGTTTATCCATTACAGATCAATTGCAGAAAAGACTGCAACTTTATTAGAAGCATAATTTAGGAACCCTATAAGCATTTAGAATTTAAGCCCCACTGACTGAATTAAGTCCAACCATATGGAATATTTATATACACGTTGATTGAAATCCCTTCTGAAGCCTTCTCAAGAAAACTGTATTCCAAAGGATCAAAAGGCAATTTAACCAACCTGACCCAGACTACCACCATCTCATCCTAAGGAATAATCACCTTAGCCTTTGTCACTTGCTTAATATAAAACATCCAAACAAAATTACCCACAGCTCATTTTAAAAGGAAACTTGTTTATCCAATATTAGTTTGTTTAAACTTTAAGATTTACTATTCCTCAAGTGTTTGCATGGTTTTCTCTATGTAGCTGCTCAGAACTGCTACTGCAGTCACAATTTCCTGTTAACTGGTAAGCTATCTGCAGAAAATAGATGTCTTTGTTCATCCCACACGTTTTCCTTATCTCCAGGCAGTCATCTTACCAAGGTGTGGGGAAGGAGATTGTAGATGACTCTGGGAAATTCATCAAAACTAAGGCAAGAACTATCAAACCACAATCCAATGGAAAAACATAGGTAATGTTTCTACACAGGAAGAAAAGCTCCTCTCCTTTTGCTGGCTCTGAGTAGATATTACAGTGTAAATCAAACTGTAGGAGGTTGTAAGGAAACTCAGCACCTACTCTCTTAAGTATGATGCCAAACTCACACTTAAAGACCTGGATCTTACCTCCCATCATTCAAACGTAACTTTCTTTTACTAGAGAGCAGAAAAAACCAAGTATCTCATTATGAATATGTATTGAGTTTCTATATAACTTAAATCCACTAAACAAAATTGCTTAGTAATCTTGCTCCCAAGGCTTGTTAGGAATGAACTCAGAACAAAAGCTAAGACCTTTAACTTCAAAATGAATGTTTATTTTGAAATATACATTATATTTTGCCTTCTCATTTTTTGCTTGGTTCATTCTGTTTCTTGAAGGAAGGCATTTTCTAGAGAAGGCAAGAAAGGTCCAAGCACTCAGAGCTTGTACACAGCTGTTTCTTGGGAACTTCAAGGTCACATTGCCTGTGGAGCTGCTCCAGGCTGAGGGCTTTGATTCTTCCTGGGAGAAATAGCTCACTTGGCTATGAGTCTGCTCCTCTCCTTCTCCTCTGGGGCCTCACCACCTTCTCTTAATACATTTTTCTCTGGACACTATCTTCAGCTTTAGAAAAGTTTAGCTAATCCCTTCTGAGCTTCATCTTAAGAGTTTTATAAATTAATATTCTCAATCCATATTCATGAATTCTGACTGTTACAAATAACTGTATATTTTATCATTTTTACACACAATATTGTATAGTCATAGCCATTCTCGAACCAGAGAGTGGTTATATAAAGTATCACAAAGTGTTTGAGAAGTAGTCAAGGTTCTGGTTGAGTGAGAGCTTAATATTTTACAACCCTAATAATAAGAAATTACATATTATATCTAACTCTGTGAGTGAAATTAAACCTCCCTTTTCTCTTTTAATGAAATTAAAATGTTTCAGTATCATTTTAATGAAATCCTTTCAATGTATGAATGTTTTCTTATGATAATCCTGAGACATGGTGGTTTTCTCAGTTAAATTGGCCCCATTAATTTACCCTTTCCTTACCGGTCTTTTTTATACCTAGGGGCAAACTCCTTTAGACAGGAATATGTCTATTTTAACAGAGTCTGACCAATGGGCAGTAAAGGACTATCCTGTGTACATGCACATACGTAGCAATACTTCATCAGAGAAGGAGGACACTGGCTAATGATTACTGTGAGCTTACTACATGGCAGGCATTATACTACGAGCTATAAATGGAATCAAGTTCATTTCTCACAAAGTATTATTATTAACCTCATTTCACAGATCAGGAAATTGAGTAATCTGTGCAAGTAACAAAGCTCGATAGTCACTAGTAATGAAAAGAGAAGAAACAGAGAAATGCATCTTTATTTCTTTAATCATTTATTTAACAACTAACCAATTTCCTTAATGAAGGCTCATGTTCTCCACAAATATTGTCTGAAAATTAAGTAATAATAAAACAAAAAATAAGAATTGCTCTTACTCGTCCAGATCCATGAAGTCCACAGTTTTTGGTACAATGTCTAGTTCATTTGTTAGCTCGCAATACATTTCCCTGCCCTTAGAAATACTTAAATAGGTAGTACCCCAAAATGAATCTTACTAGATCTGGTTCAAGTATTTTTATCTTTCTAATTAAACTAGTCTGCAGTTACCAGAGGTGGTTTTGTTTGCAGATACTGTTAATATATTAGTCTTTACTTATAAATCTCTCTGCTGCAGAGAAAATGATATAGAAACTGCAAAGAGAGTAAGTAGGAAAAAACTAAACTCAGGCATCTTTTTAGATAAATGCTATTGTCTATCAAGACTTACCAAACGCCACATTAGTCCTTAGGAAATGGATTGTGCAAATATGAAAAATAAATTTTCTTTTAATTTCTCTATGGAGATGTAATGAAAACACAAGTAATCTGTGGTCATGAACAATTAGAACTTGAAAGTTAGTCCCCCTTCTAAGTATAAAGAAAGTATAAAATAAAAATCACCCACAATCCCACCATTCAAAAATCACTACTCAATATTTCAGCACATTTCCTTCCAATCTTTTTTTCTATTTTAAAAATCATAATAGGCCAGGCACGGTGACTCATGCCTGTGATCCCAGCACTTTGGGAGGCTAAAGTAGGCAGATCACTTGAGGTCAGGAGTTTGAGATCATCCTGGCTAACATGGTGAAACCCCTTCTCTACTAAAAATAGAAAAATTAGCCAGGTGTGGTGGTAGCAGGTGCCTGTAATCCCAGCTTGAGTGACTGACTCAGGAGAATCAATTGAACTGGAGAGGTGGAAGTTGAGGTGAGCTAATATTCTGCCACTGCTCTCCAGCCTGGGTGACGGAGAGAGACTCTGTCTCAAAAATAAATCACTTAATTTAATTTAATTTAAAAACATAGTAAATAGGCTATCTTTAAAAACTCAAGGTTTACTTAGACCATTTATTAAAGAAGTTTGTCCCCTCATCCCCAGGAAAAAATTTTCTATTATCCTCCTGACCTGCAATGCATTCATCCCCTTCAAAGGCAACTCATCAACAGAAAAATCAAATGACACTTTAGCCACTCAGCTGCTTTCCTTCATATTTGAAGCATAAATCATTTAATTAAAATTAAAGATTAACAAAGCCTTGGTCATTGGCATGCATCCTCTTAATTCCAAAGATGGCTTAGCTATTCTTAGCTGTCAGTTTTTTACAAAGGTATTTGCAATGAAAGGGTCAACTTTAGACTTCTCTAAACCTCTGCTCTCCCTCTCGCTCTCGCTCGCTCTCTCTCTCTCTCTCTCTCTCTCTCTCTCTCTCTCTCTCTCTCTTTCTTTCTCTGTTAATAACCTTCCTGGTGTTAGACTGGTGTTAGATATTTGTTTAATAATCAATAGTGGCTTCTTTTCCTATCATTGAGTATTTCAGAAAGTAGCATAACCAAGTCAATGTTTAACTGGATTCTTTGGGTCTGAAGTGGCAAAGTTGAAGGAAGTCTCCATGGAAACCAGCCTCCCAGGAAGTGGCCAGAAGGGTTAGTGTGCAGTGATATAGAGCTAGAAGGATGCCTGCTAGAAGGAAATGACTGCTTTGTAAAGCCAGGGTAAACTTCTGAAATGCCTTGATTAAAACAAGCTATATTAAAGACCCCAAAACCACTTCAGTCGCAGCTTTCCTCTGAATGTCTTTCACATGAAATGGGCCTGAGTCGCTCTAAGGCTCACCCTAGGGTGATCAAAGTAGCACCTTTGCAAAACAAAGAGGGAGAGACTCCCTCGGCTGGCCCTGTGGACTTTGCATTCAATCAGAATTTGGAAGAAAAGACTTCATATTTGCCGGCAAGACTGCAGGACCAGAATAAAGCTTCGGAAGGGCAGCTGCCACCTTTACAAGAAACCTCGTATGGAAGATATTCTGCAGGTAAACATAAAACCCAGCACGAGATGTGTGCATCTGGACCAAGGAGCATTATTAATAGATTTATCTGACTGTCTCCATGATCTCAAAAAGTTCCGAAATTACTGAAATGTAAAGGAATTTAGGCTATCTTTGAAAACTCAAACAGATCTTTCAATGAAGATTAAATGTCAATTGAAAGTATTCTGGGTACATTAGAGTGGGAGTATAAACTGCACAAAGGGCTTTTCACTGTTCTATATGAGAAGGAAAAATCATTTCCTTTCAGCTCAGTTTGTAATGCTTTCAATGTTTATACCTAGCTTTGCCAGACGATTAAAATTATATAGATACTAATGTGATAAACGATAGCAATCACGTTTCAGTTAGATTCTAAATTTAAATCATTCTCTCCAGTACAGTTTAATGCACCAGGCTTTGTGGTTTTCAAAACAGCACTTTAGGAGTGAAGTCATTCTAACGTGAATTTTGAAACCATCCTAAACAGAATTGATTTATTGCAGTCCAGAGGAGTGGATGAGTCACCCTTTCCCAGCCCCACATTCTTCATGGTCGTCTGCAGAACGAACAGAATTCTTTAACATTATGATTGGAAGCTCTAAGCCTGAAGTGGCTATAAATTATCCTGGGATATTTTATAAGCCATGTAAAATATTTTATGATGGCCACAATGATAATTAAACAGATATTCTCACTTAGAAAGAGAAATATATGTTTATAATATACACATACGTATACATGTATATTGTTTTCCCTTTTCTTCACCTTCTGGATCATTAACGCCAAGAAGTTTCCCTTATTGGAAGCCTTGTTCAGAAAGCCTCACTTTTTCTTTTGGTACCTAGTAAATCTTGCCTGGAATGATTTTTTATGGCTACTGTCTGGAGAACTGATAACCTTTGGTTGGTTCCATATGACCTATTTTTATGTTCTTTATACTCTCCAAGTTCTTAAGCACATGGATGGGAATTTTCCTCTTAAAATTTTTTAATGGTAGATAGATATATAGGTGATTAGACATGATTTTAAAAATGGAGCATGAATGTGTAATAAGAGTATGCAATGCTCCTCTTGAAGAATTCCTTTTTTATTCAAACTCCCTTCCAGAGTTTTAAGATTTTGGTAACAGAGACTCTATCTCAAAAAAAAAAAAAAGATTTTGGTAACTGAATAAATGGTGAAAGCTGATTCATGTGCTTTAGAGTCCTAACTGGAAAATGTGCTTATGTTTGAAATGACAAAATCACATTAAATATAAATAACCAGGAGATCATGAGGATTCTGATACGTATTTTCCATATTCTTACCCCAGCTCCATCAAATACCAAATCGTATGACCTTGGGCAAGTTACTTCATCAATTTTTTTCACTTGTAATCAAGGGTAAAAATAAATGCCTGACATAGCCTATGCCATTTGAGGAGAATCTAATTAAATAATGAAATAATATCACTAAGATCATAAAACAAAATAAGTAGTAGGAAGCTTCTGAAAAAAAAATAGCTGAAAATACTTACATTTTTAAATCCAATATGTTTGTTGTTCTTTCTGTCCTGCTCAGTACACTGGCATCTTTTCAAAAGAAAATAAGGACATGGTTTCCATCCCACTAAAAGTTAGAACAAAGTTCCTAAAATGGTCATTCACATGTCTTAAGGATAGAGATGCATAATTACTCAGGGATTTTTTTCATTTTAAATGCAAAGTGGGACTGTAAAATAGTCTACGAAACAATCTAGAAATCAGACTGTGCCCAGATTGTTAAAAGGGAAGGACAAGAATTTCATTCATGCAGCGTTGGTCATGGTAGCACTCCCAAGAGCTCAGGATAATCAAGCTGGAAAATAAAATCCATATGGACCTGTTGAGCCTCTCTGTTTCCTAATAGAGGCTTAACTCTGTATTCCCGGCTTGTTTTATCAGGAAAGAATATTGCTATGTTGTATTATAGTAGCAACCTGTGGACATTTCTTTCCTAGTTAAAAGGACTATTTGATTGTGATTACACATAATCCATTTCTTTCTCATCTTTGTGTAATCACCTATCATCTATTTTATCTGAGAAGATTATTTTCATTTTTTAAAGTTACATGTTTTTTCTGATGTCTTATATTTTGGGGAGGAGATTTTATGGAATTAAAACAAGTCAGTAAATGTCTGTTTACCAGACCAAATTCTGTTTGAAAAATACTTGCAGTCAACATATTGGTAATTTTGTAACTCTTTCCCTGCATATGAACCTGAGTAGGAAGTTAAGAGAGCAGAAATTGAATCCTGGGTCTAGACTAAAATAGTGTCATTTGGACTAATGTGGGTTCCCTGCTTTCTGTGTTTCATCTCCACATTCAACCCATGTTAGATATAAATAACTGAAAAGGTACAAAATTGTGTTGACAAACTCTAGTAACCAATGATTGCCTGGTGTAATTGTAAATTATATTTAATGATTTACTCTTTTTTATTCTCCAATCCTTCAAGCTTCCAGAGATGTGTATTTTGACATCCCATTGGAACACAAAGAAACAAGTATTATTAAAAGGCATCCACCCCAAAGACTGCAAGTAAGATGAATTTAAAAGGCTTCATAAGGAATTTCTTGGATATAATGGTAACATCCCTTTTTAAACTGTAATCATCAAAGAGAGATATTGATAATGACCAGGCTATTAATGAGAATGTTCTTAAAGAAAATGTCATCATTTGCAAAGATGATGCTACTTTAAGATTTCCTTTAGCAATGATTGCGCTTTTTAAGACTGGCAACTGAAAGAAGCAAGTTTAGTAGCAAGGACATAGGTGTGATGGGACTCAAGGAGCTTGAATCTAGCACTGATTAGTTGGGTGACTTTGGGAAAATAACTTGTAATAAATAATAACAGCTACTACTATTTAATTACCCCACTACAAGTCAGACACTATACTAGGTGATCTAATCTATTGTCATTCCTTTAATCTTCTTAGCCACCTATAAAAAAGGAAGAATTCTCTTTGTTTTATAAATGCTAGTCAGAGAGTTCAGTCACTAGCCCAAAGACTCGCAGAGGCCAAATATCAACCAGATCTCCAAAGTCTGTATTCTTAACGGTCAGCATAAGTAATTTCTATAGCCCGTCTATCTTTAACCTTTTATTGTTCTAGATGTTAACTGGTTGTTTAAACTGGGGACACTGGATCCCAAGGAAGCAAAGCAAGAGCTTTAAATGCATTCACCTTAATAAATATTTAATGGGTTCTCTCTAAACAGCTATATATTTTAAGAGCTCTCAACCTAAAAAGGGAATGCATAGATTAAAGTGGTCCTTGAAAATGAGCATCATTGGAAGGAAGATTTGGGGCTTTCTTGTGAGCAGGATCTATCACTGACATTTGAAGCCAAATCCTACCTGCTACACAATTCACCCAGATGCCTGGACCAATCCCAGGCATGTTGGAGTTCATTTGCTGGGGATTAGTTCTGTCTCAGTTGGTTTTTATTTACCGGTCTTCTACAGAAGCTCACACCTATTATTTGAAGTGATTATATAATTTTGTCCCAAAAGAGTATCTTTTCCCCAAATATTAGAAACTATAAAATTATTCTTTAAAGAAAAATAAAATGAAATATAACAAATTAATATCTAATTTACAAGTTTTTACAAATCCTCTAAGTAAACAGGACAGTTTTAAAATGTGTTTTATTCCTAAATCAAATACTTCCTTTCAAAGGAGCGTGTTTAATAGTTTCTGTGAAGCCTCTAAACTGATTAGTTCAAATAGAAGATATTACTCTAGTGAAAAATATTTGTCTAGTACTTAAGAGTTCACAAAATACTTTTTATGTCTATCAATTCTAAACAAAGAAGGTTAGGCTAGGCTTTGATTCTCTCAATAGTCAAACAAGGTCAAAAAGAGCGCTTTGATAATTCAAAGTCAAACACTGCACCTCCACCTCCATATGCACACACCCTAACTAACCATCTTAAAAACAAAGAATCGAGACATGAATTATTTCAATGCAAAAACCATGTCTTTTTCCTCTTCAACTTTTAAGTTCAGGGGTACATGTGCAGGATGTGAAGCTTGGTTACATGGGTAAACGTGTGCTATGGTGGTTTGCCGCACAGATCAGCCCATCACCTCAGTATTAAGCCAAGTACCCATTAGCTGTTTTTCCTGATGCTCTCTCCCCACCAACCCCGACAGGCCCCAGTGTGTGTTGTTCCCCTCCCTGTGTCCATTTGTTCTCATTGTTCAGCTCCCACTTATAAGTGAGAACATGTAGTGTTTAGTTTTCTGCTCCTGAGTTAGTTTTGCTGAGGATAATGGTTTCTAACTCCATCCACATCCTTGCAAAGGACATGAACTTGTTCCTTTTTATGGCTGCATAGAATTCCATGGTGTGTATGTACTACATTTTCTTCATCCAGTCTATCATTGATGGGCATTTACATTGATTCCATGTCTTTGCTGTTGTAAATAGTGCTGAAATTAATATACGCATGCATGTATCTTTATAATAGAATGATTAACATTCCTTTTGGTATATAACAAATAACAAGATTGCTGGGTCAAATGGTATGTCTGCCTTTGAGAAATCACCATACTGTCTTCCACAATGGTTGAACTACTTTACATTCCCACCAAAAGTATAAAAGCATTCCTTTTTCTCCACAACCTCACCAGCATCTGTTGTTTTTTGACTTTTTAATAATAGCCATTCTGATTGGTATGAGATTGTATCTCATTGTGGTTTTGATTTGCATTTCTCTAATGAACAGTGGTGTCCAGCTTTTTTTCATGTTTGTTGACTGCATATATGTCTTCTTTTGAAAAGTGTTTGTTCATGTCCTGTGCCCACTTTTTAATGGAGTTGTTTGTTTTTTTTTCTCATAAATTTAAGTTCCTTGCAGACTCTGGATATTAGACCTTTGTCAGATGGATGGATTGCAAAAATGTTCTTCTATTGTTAGGTTGCAAAGATTATGCCTTATTCAGTCTTATGTCTTCAGCCATTAATACTTAATATGAGCTCCACAAAAGTTTGTGAGTGAAATGAATGAGTGAGTGAATGACAATAAGACCCATCATCCTTGCTGGAAGAGGGAAAAAATACACTCAACGGGCACTTCCTGCTACTGCAGACCTATAATCACTGTATTAGAAGTGTGTAGCATCACTGTAACATCTCTGTATTAGAAGTCTCACTGACTAGCAAAAATAACTAGCATGATTAATTAGAAGGATATAGAAATGTTTTATTGAACCAAAGTTGTGGGAGACACTTAAACTTCAGGGAAGAATTGTGATTTGGAACCTGAAATGCAGAACTCTCTAAATGTCTGCCCTAATCTCGTCTCTGTGAATTTGCTATATTTTTCTCTCTAATGATCAGTTTTCTCTATTCCTCAGGCACAGGCACACAATGAAATATGGCCACCCTGAGCTTGTATCTTTTAGTTCCACTCAAATGGATAGATTGGCCTTCTTGACTCCAATTCCAGATTCCTAGAAGAAAGGATATTGGCTCAGCTTTGCTCATGATTCCAGCTCTGGTCCAATGAGCTATGTCCAGAGGATGTGCTCATGCAGTAGATACATGGGCAGAGGAGTCACCCCTGTAGACTCTGGAGTCAGCTCCCAAAGAGGAGGGAAATTGCTAGAAACTTGGCAGACACTCCCAAAGATATCAGCTATAATTATCTTCACAAATGAAGCTCAGCACGTTTTCCAGCACAAATGAGTTTTTGAGAGAATAATACATGCTGGGCCCTCATGACATGCTAATTAATAGCCTAATTTCTGCCAAAGAAAATTCTCAAAGCATTTTTAATTATTAAACCAAATCTAATTGTATGCTAAATTATTTGAGTTATATTTTTGGTACCTTCTACTTCCTAAACATCTACTCCTCAAATAAAGAGAAAGTCACGAACTAGCATTATCCAACCTGGAGCTGAGAGGCTCTGACAGTGTCCACCAGGGAACTCCAAATCAAATGTACCTTTTTATTGAAGAGTTGATTAGTACTGTCCCCTCTGGCCTGACCACCTTCTTATCCAACCATTTCAAGTCTAGCTTAAGTTGGAGGTGTTTTCCCCACACATATAGTGTGTCCTCAAATGATCTCCTTGAATAACTCCCTCATCTCAAAATATTTGTTCAAATCTCACTGTCCCTATAAGACCCATCCTAGCCAATCAATTGACATTGCAACTTTCATGTCAGCACTCTTGATTTCCCTGGCCCTTCACCAGATTCCCAAATCTCCTAGCACACGCTTCAACTGATTATGCTGACCATTTGTTTTGTTTGAGAAGTCAAATAATCCAGAAGTCTTAAGACAAATGATAACTTATATTGTAAAATGAAAATAAGATGTCGTTCTAACCGATTCTCCAATAGTTTCTTTCACTGTGTTCTCTTTGAAGATGATGAAGTGAGACATCCCGCTCCCTGGCCAGGGAAAAAGAACATGCATATAAACCCAGAATTCTGAGGCAATTTCATCTGACTGGTTTATTTAGCTGAAGCCAATTTCGCCAACAATTTTTTCTGCAGTGTTCAAATCAAGTGACAAATGATTTAATGAAGAGATCCCAGTTGCAATGTTAGTTGCTGCCATCTAGTGGCTTTTGTGAAGGAATAGCATGATTCCTTAAGGCTCTTTTCAAAAACCAGGAAGAAACTCAGCCTGGAGAGTTCTTGAAGATATACATCACTTAACCCTTGTTAGAATTAGAACTCAGGATTACGAAACTCACCCAAAACCACACAACTACATGGAAACTGAACATCAGCTCCTAAATGACTACTGGGTAAATAACAAAATTCAGGCAGAAATAAATAAATTCTTTGAAAAAAGTGAGAACAAAGACACAACATACCAGAATCTTTGGGACACAGCTAAAGCAGTGTTTAGAGGGAAATTTATAGCACAAAATGCCCACAAGAGAAAGCATAAAAGATCTAAAATCAACACCCTAATATCACAATTAGGCAAGAGCAAACAAATTCAAAAGCTAGCAGAAGATGAGAAACAACTAAGATCAGAGCAGAACTGAAGGAGATAGAGACACAAAAATCCCTTCAAAAAATCAGTGAATCCAGGAGCTTATTTTTTTAAAAGATTAACAAAATACATAGACCACTAGCCAGCCTACTAAAGAGGAAAAGAGAGAAGAATCGAATAGATGCAATAAAAAAATGATAAAGGGGATATCACCACTGATCCCACAGAAATACAAACTACCGTTAGAGAATACTATAAACACTTCCATGCAAATAAACTACAAAATCTAAAATAAATGGATAAATTCCCGAACACATATACCATCCCAAGACTAAAACCAGGAAGAAGTAGAATCCCTGAATAGATCAATAACATGTTCTAGAATTAAGGCAATAATTAATAGCCTACCAACAAAAAAAAGCCCAGGACCGGACAAATTCATAGCCAAATTCTACCACAGGTACAAAGAGGAGTGGGTACCATTCCTTCTGAAACTATTACAAACAACAAAAAAAGAAGGACACCTCCCTAACTCATTCTATGAGGCCAGCATTATTGCAATACCAAAGGCTG